GCTAAGTAGAACAATGGATTTAATAAATGCTCTAAACTGACAACCAAATTTGCCAAACCCAGCGCACACACACGGAGATGATTGAAAATAAATTGCAGGTACAAGCGATCCGCACTGGCTTGCAAAGCTCACACACATACATACACCTGACGTATAATCACACGGGTAACCAGCATGGCTACAAACTAAGGCGCATGACCTAACATTTGCGCTTTGAAATGCTAGTTTTCAATCCCTCAGAAGTCGAAGATGAGGACACAGTGATAGCTGAAGTCAGTTGGCAAGTTGCCGCGGCACAATAGGGAAAGGCTCGCTTGATGACTTGCAATCGGCACCTGAGCGGGTGTCGAATCACTGGCACAGAGGGGCGCGTCTCCCTAAATGAAATCGGAAATTGTTGCTTAAAGAGATTGGACAGCCGGGGCGGTTCTTTGCATTTTAGGGCTTTGAATCATTGCAGCACGTCCCTCTCCCCCGCTAAGCCATCATTCCAGGGCGGGCCTAGACATTCCAGAGTCGGTATTATATGCTGACTGGGACAGAGGCACGCCAGGGACAATCCTGGCGGCATAGTTTATTATTTTTTGAGTCCTCAACACCTGGCAACTGATCGTACCCCCACCGCGCAACAACAATCAGATACGTAAAATCGTAGATTTTTGTAATAATTTTGAAAACATCAGGTATTGAGTAATGCCTGGAGCGGTACAGTGATATTATAATTTTGTTACATTTTTTGCACGACATTTTGCGCGAAATGATTTTCCCACGAGAGCATCGAATCACACCGAGAAATTTGATGTGCCATAAAAGTGAGATAAACTATTCATTCATCGTAAAGCGGAAGCCACAATTTTTATCTAAATTATGCTTTGAACCTATTAGAAGAAAGTCGGTTCTGTCCTTGTCCATTTTCAGTGAGTTTACGCTGAGCCAAGCCTGAAGTTCGCGAAATTATATTTATAGACGACATTTTAGTGCTCCGAGGCTGCTTTTCGGGAGAAGTGACCTTTCAAGAATTTTTCAAACGACCCTTTCAAGAATTTTGGACAGCATAACTGAGAGATGTGGACCTATTTTAACTGTCACAGTTGGGACGCCTAATTTCAAGACGGGTGCCACGCGCGCAATGTTCCACTCGTCGGGAAGTACCCGAGTTGTGAAAGGGCAGCTGATGGTCAGCAGGAGATGAGGACCGAACACAGGGAAGCATCGGCGCGCCGCTTTTATTGATACGCCGTTCAGACTCACCGCTCTCGAGCTGCTCATCCGCCGGATCTACAAAGATATTTCAGAGAGACTAGCGGACTTAAGGTAAAGGAGGTTGTACCCACCGTTGGCGGTCTGGGTGGTTTCCGTCGCTTCCTCTCAGTTTGGTGGCGATGCGAAACCCAACCATCAAGAATAGACGGTTGAACTCGTCAGCCAGGTCAGGGTTTTCCTCTAACGGATCTTTCCTTAAGGGATCATTCATCTTGTCCAATCTTAATTGATCAGGAGAGGTCCAGTCTTGAAGATCATGTGGTGCGGTTCACAGCCATGCCCTTTTTAAGATGTGAACCTCACTGGTTCCTGAGCTACACGCCCGCGAAGATGTGCAGACTATTTGGTGCTGACTATTTTATGGTCTCCCAGACACCCATGACGCCACATAACGTCATTCAAATTCTGCCATTCCTTTGGCCATGCAGCAAACAAAGCCAAAGCAGACATAGTTGTCGAGTTGTTCACATCCGGCGTTTGTGAACACGATCTCCATACATAACGGCCGTTGATCGGCTCTCAGTGAATGCTGAGCATGGCACCGTGACGCAATCAGACAATAGTAAACTGAGAAGCATATTTATTGAATAGAGAAATTGTGTGGTCTAGCGCAGTATTTTCCTTCTTAAAAATATACCAACAGTTATGAGTGCGTTTATTTCATCATCTGATGCTTGCTTCGATGTCTTAAGAATGTGGAATTTAATGATACCGAGGTTTTCATGAAAAAACATTAGTTGTAAGCGAGTTTATTTCATCATCTGATGCTTGCGTGGATGCCAATAAAATGTGGCACAGTGCCTTTAAGACGATCGGGGTTTTCACAAAAACACGATTTATTCAATTTTCTCAATGTACCATGGTTTAATCACCCCCCTCAAGTGTAACTCAGACACAGTTTTAAACATAAAATGAGTAAGATGTTTTTACTCCGTTTCTTTTGTCTACGCCATCACCATAAATTGTTCAACAGGATATGCCACCGGCCAGCCACGGCAAAAATGATAAATATTAGGACTAAGCGTCGATACCGCATCGCTCCCTGCCAAGAAAGGTGAAATCAACTAAATCCGTTGAGCATATACACAAACATCGGTTGGCATCTCCCTTGTCAGCACAGTTTAAATGAGTTTAATAGAGATGTTTATGAACCATGTAGCTACAGTTGAACGTAGCCAGTTCCAAGAATGATGGCCGACAGCCCCTCAAAACCACCACCAGAGCTAGTGTACCTAGCTTATTTTTTTGTATGCTGAATATCCCGCCGCCGCTATGAATTCGATTATGCTCTGATGTGCAGGCGAGCGGGTGTTTATGCTGGTAAATACTCATGCAAATATCAGGATAGACTACATCGTGCTTGGAGCGAAGAACACCGATATATGTTGTATACACAGACGCACACACACACACACACACACACACACACACACACACACACACACACACACACACACACACACACACACACACACACACACACACACACACACACACACACACACACACACACACACACACACACACACACACACATACACGTACAGGTATGCAAGGACACACACTGCATGCACAAGTAGGCTTTCACTGTTAATACTAAAAGCACAAAACGTGCACACAAACACACACACAAACGCGAATACGTATATCGCTGATCACAAATATGTTGATCTGTGTTAAATGGAAAAGTGGCACACACTTAACTGAAATGAGATAAAGGGAGCAAATTACACTGAGGTCAAGATAAGCAGCAGCATAAACGTCCAAGCACAACGTGAGTTACGATACATTTTCAACATAAACTTTAAGAAAGTATTCTTTGACATGTTTCTTAAAGGATACTTTTGTCCCCATGCACGTCATGGATATTTGGAAACATTTTGCAAACCAAACGATGGAATTCCAGGCCCTGGGCGGACTACATGGCCAGGAACAAGCTTTATAGTTAGATGCAGGAAAAGGAATTTGTTTTGGACATCCTTGCTATTCATTCTGAGAATGGAATGTGCCAATATTTTTCCAAAATTTTGCCGCAAAAATACTTGGTATCTCTCTTTCCTTCCATTCCATAGTTCGTCTCAATAGCTAAGCTGGTTAGAGTACCTTTAGTCTGATTCACGTACTGGCAGTGACGAGGGTAGGGTCCAAGCCGGTTTATGCATTCACTTGTGGGCCTTGCGCCAAGCGTTGGAGCGCGCCAAGCTTTCACCGTGAAATTCTACCGTTGACCCGGAGCTCCACGATCCAGTGGAGGGGCGAGGGTTCAGGCAGCCAGCGCCACTTGCTGTAGACGCTGATTTCAGAACTGTACCCAATCGAAAGATTAGGATCAAATTGTGAGAGATAAACAAATCAAATGCTGAGCCCGATTCCTGAGCTTTATTTCGTATATTCCCCTCGTAAGGGCCAGGTGGTGATGGCTGCCTGTCGCCCGCTCGCTCGGTATGGGAACAAAATCGATCACACGGCAGCATTCCGGTCAAGCTTCACTACCACACTGTTGAACGTATGGGCCATTCATCCACTATTCCACCCCCTAACCTCTGTGCTGCTGAGGGCATGCACCTGGATCAGGACTGGTCCCCACAGCACCTTTGTGATGCGTTACAATATAAAGTTCCTTAATGGTCTTTTGACAAATAATGCGCACTGGAGCGCGAGCGTACTTTCTTTTTGTTGCAATTGTATTGTAATATGGAAAAAACAGTGCATACAACTCGACACACAACATAACGCCACGAGCTACCTGAGGCCCAACTTGAGGACGAGGATGCAGCGGCAAACTTTTTCTCATCTGCACTGCCTCGATGCGTTCGTACTTTTCGCAGATGAAGTGGAGGTTACCACGCCCAGCGTGCTGACTACTTCCAGCCTTCCTGGACCTGGGTCCGGGTCTGCTGTCACGGAGTCCGCCACCGAAGAGGCTGAAGGAGCCGGGGCATCCGAGACTACAGAGTCCACCGATGAACCAGAGCCGCCCGGAGGGACCGAGGCGTCCACGGAGTCACCCGAGGGGGACGAGACACTCACCAGGTCGCCTGACCTAGCTGAGTCACCGGCGGGTACAGGGCCATCTGAGGACGGCGAACAGTCCAGTGGAGCAGAGCGGTCCGAGGAGACCGCAGCCCCCGACGAAGCCGAATCCTCAGAGGTGACGACAGCTCCCAAGACGGCTGGTTCCGCCGAGAAAGCTCAAACGCTAGATGCAGAAAGCCGACCAGTGGAGCGGCAGGACGTGGGTCAGGACGAGGGCTCGGATGGTTCTCAGGACGTGGGTCAGGACGAGGACCCGGATGGTCCCCGAGACGTGGGTCAGGATGCCGGACAAGGCGTGGGTCAATTGGCAGACCGGGCGGAGGCTATTGCCGATGACCATAGCACAGCCCAGGCCGCCGAATCAGAAGCGTCACAGAGTCAGGACGGTTGGCGAGACGCGAGCCAGGCTGCCGCGGCGACCGCCCAGGAGACGAGCACTCTTGCTACAGCCTTTTCCATCGGAACGCCGCCACCGACCGCCTCGACCGACGAGGCACCGTTGGCAACGACGGCCTGGCCCAACAACGACCCGGAACCGACCAAAGCCGAGTCGGCCATCGCACCTCCCGCAACGGAACCGGCGCTGGTGACCGCCGAGCCGGAGCCGGAGCCGGAGCCGGAGCCGGAGCCGGAGCCAGAGCCGGAGCCGGAGCCGGAGCCGGAGCCAGAGCCAGAGCCAGAGCCAGAGCCAGAGCCAGAGCCAGAGCCGGAACCGGAGTCGGAGCTAGAGCCGGAACCAAAATCGGCCGAGCCGACACAGAGTCCTGCGAGACCAGAGCCAGTGCCGGAGCCAACGTCGGCCAGACCGACATGGAGTGAAGCCGACGGACAGCTGGACAGGTCCCTGGAGGTCCTGGACAGGTCCCTGGAGACGGAGGCCGAGACATCACATGCTGAGGGCCGGAAGTCACAGCACGGTGACCAGCTGCGGAGCGCGGGCGCTTCTGTGGAGCTGGAGCCGCTCGCCAAGGAGGAGACGCCCGGAAGAAAAGGTGCAGTGGCAGGTCTGCAATGATAAATAAATCTTCGTGTGGTCATGCATCTGTTTTGCACGTGTTTTGGACATACTCAACCCTGATCTGAATTCACTGAGACTAATCACATTTATCAAGTATCGAGTAAGTGGCTGCAAATAAGGTGATAGGGCCCGCGAAGCGATTTCAAGATCATGTCTATTTTGAAAGCCTTTTCTTTCTCGTTCGTACACCGATTTGATGTGCCATACCTGCCACCGTAAACAACTGATAACCTCGTGATAGCACTGTCTGTGTAGGCTGCCGTCTAGATCACGATATTTTAGATGATGTTTTGCTGTGCGCCTCCAGAACCCGAGCGTGCGAGCACGGGGACGTCTCCGGTGGAGCTCAACCTGGACGAGGTGTACCAGAGGGGCGTCAAGGCTCAGCTCACGCAGAGCCTCGTGCTCGCCCGGTCCGTGGAGAACACCATGCACGAGGTGTTCCTGCGGCCCCGTGAGGTGGAGTACCGGCTCGGGCAGCACAGGGTCACCACCTTCATCGCCGATCTGACGGTGAGTGCATGTCAAGACAAATGGCGTACCGCGGGCCCGCGGCACTCAGTAAAATGCAGTAAAAGAATGGCATAAATGCGTGCCAAGTGTTCGGAATTAATGGAACTACGTCATTACTGCGGGCGTACCGCGGGGCCGCAATTACTGAGCCCGTGGGTCCGCGGGCTCAGCAAAATGTAATAAAAGAATGGCATAAATGCGTGCCAAATGTTCGGACTTAATGTAACTACGTCACTACGTATAGACAATTTCATACTACAGTAAGTAAACTTTGGAAGAATAACGGACCCAGTAAAGAAAGGATTGCGAGAAAAAGTACCATCTGATCAAAGTATTGGTAACTATAAAAAAATTGTACTCCAAGTGTGGGCTGTTTGACGTAGAGTCAAAAATATAAGTCGTAGAGAAGAGCCAAATAGTTCAGCATACTTTGGACAATTCCAAATGGAGCGTTTGTCTACAAGCCGCCTCCAGTAGCAAAGGACATCAATGCCAATCAATGATACAAGTTGTGGCGCACTGCAAACGGAACTATGCACGGCCTCAATGTGCACAAATTGAACACAATTGCCCCTCCCCTGAAGCTAACGCCACGCCAACCGAACATCGCCGAGCATGACCAACATCAGTGCAACATTCCTTTCATTGCTTTGCCAGCACGGCTGTTTGCAGTAAAGACTACCCTTGTGGCATCCACACATATACCTTATCGCATAGTATGTTTTGGTTGTCAGTGTCAGCCGATATGGCGCACAACGCGGTAACTTTTATCGAAGTAGTTGGTGTATTGAAATATATTTCAAGCCTAAATTGTGAACAAAATCAACAAACAGGAGCAAAAGCAAACTCATGCACGTGTTGAATGGTTGCAATGAAAATGCTGCGATGAAAACGCTGGTGACGTGCAAGTGAGGTAGAAGTCGCTCAAAATCTTGACACAATTCTTCGTTGTGATTCTTGGGTTAAGTGTCAGCATCGAACGGCTCTTATATCTTGAACGTTAAATGTGACTTATAGCTTGTTAAATTTAGTGATGTGCTGCATACTCCAATGAAAGCTTGACCGCACATGACCCGAGATTGGCTACATTTGCGGAGTGTGAGAGGCGAGCACCTACTTACGTGAGGGGTCCGATGAATGGCAGCGAGGTTAAAAGAACGGAATATAAATATCTCTTATATGTAAAGGTACGGTAAATATTTCATGCACTGTCAAATTCATCACGTAGCGCGCGAATCCCGGCATGTTTAAATCATGTGGTAAAATTACATACCATCATCAGCAATGTCCAGGCATGGTCCGATGGACGAATCGCGTGGAAAATGCACTGAAACAACGGCAAACTATACACGGAAGATAGCTGTACACAAACACAAGTAAAGAATTAACAATAACAAACAATGTTATGTCCCTTTCCAGGTCAGCGGAATGGACGTCCTGAAAGTTATAGAATCAAGCATGGACATGGAGGACATGGTGATGAACGTTACAATAGATTTTCCCGAGATCAGGTCAGTAGATTCCAACTTCAAATGAGGTTGAACTTGTACGGTCGACTAAAAGTAACATGCGTAAATAGGCCTGCTATGCCGTGAGAAACGATAACATGCACAGGAGTACGATAAGGTACTATAAAATATCCAAGTAGCTGGGAAAAAGTAACAACGCAGGCTGTGAAATGCCTGGCGAATCAAAGTGCACTATGTTTATTGATAAGCGTTGAGATATGGTTTGCTCGGCAATGGATTACACGCACACACACGCACACACACACACACACACACACACACACACACACACACACACACACACACACACACACACACACACACACACACACACACACACACACACACACACACACACACACACACACACACACACACACCACACACACACATATACATATATATATATATATATATATATATATATATATATATATATATATATATATATATATGCATATAAAGGATAACGAGCTGGACCTCTATGGCCTGTGGTGGTGTATCATTGTCATGATTGCTAGATCCTGGCTGAACTGTTTATATCTATTCTCACGACCTTCATAAATTTCCTTGAGAAAACATGAAATACCACGCCTGTTTCGGGCAATCCCTTTTGAACACATCATGGCAAAGCCGCATGCCCTACATCAGCACTGCGTGAAGCAACCCCGTCCATGTTCGCACGAATCTGCTCGACAGGCTGTCGGGCAACTTCAACGCCTCCGGCTCCATATCCGGACTTCAGAAGGAGAGGCTGGTGTACCTCAGGACGTCGTTCCCCAGCTACGGCTTCGGCGACATCGAAGCCGTGATCGCCAATACCACAGGTCTCTATTTCGTACCACGTATTTGCGCCGGCACAATGTGACGGCCTGTTTACACCCTGCAAACGTGCGGTACCTGCGTCATCCGCTGTCCGGTCGACACGTACTGCTTCGCCTTCACTACAACACTTCGTCTCGTCGGACCAACGCGGCGGCGGCCGTGAGCTAGTTTTACTGCCGGGAGGGACTAAACGACTGGCAAAACCTGTTGACAGCCCCATGTTCCGAGCCTATGGGACCGATCGCGAACCGACCGGTGTGGGACATGTTGATGAATTTTGACCTGCACCGTCTTTCATAAGGTCACTCCTGGAAAAGGTTACTCTTGAGCCAAGGTCACTCTTGATAGGTCATCAAACACGCTGCATCGATGAGCAAAAGCTTCGAGCGGATCGGTCTGATACTTTCGGAGCATGGGGTCGTGTGCAGGCAATTTTGGTGGTCTCGGACGTTTCTGGTGACCTTTGACCTCACCCAAGGTCACCATTTCCTGCAGAGGTCAAGAAACTGCTTTGTGAGCTACCTACTACGAGCCACAATCAATTTATTGTTTCCTGGTCCCGAAGTATCTCCCTCTTCTGAGCAACACCCACATTGGTTTTCGCACTGCGTGTCATGCAACTCCACCACGCAGCACTACTTGCCGCCGCAGCCGGTGAAGGGGTTCTCAATGACACACTAGCCTTACATGCTTTCGCGTCCCCTCTGCCGGTGGTGGTGGTGATGTGGGATTTCGGGCCCGCCGATAGCAGGGTCATATGTCGGATGTCTCACTGCCCTTTCTCTCGTGGTGGAAACCGCAATCCAAGCGGCGGTGCCGAGCCGTCTTAGATAAGTAGTCCCCCCCCCCCCCTCCCATTCGCCTGCCTTCAGTCGGCAGTCTGCATCAGGGTTCCCATGAAATAAAGTAATGTGATCCAACATTACCCGGGTAGAGCGTCACATGAAACCTGGGGCGTAATACACGGAAATATGCTCTTGCTGGGCTACTTAGTGCAATACCTGCAATCTTGACAACTTAAATTGGCAACCTTACCATGCATAGCGAAACTTAGTCCATAAAAGGGCATGCAAGCCAATGAGCATTCTACAATTGTCTTGAAGTCATTTCAACAACGCAAAGTGTCATGCGGTTAAGCAAAGCAGAGGTGGCGTTATGCCATTTTGTCGACGTTGATAGGCGGACGAAGACGGATGCATATAGGGATCCCTGGCATTTATGGCAGTTTGCTCCACATCGAGCACAGAGGCCGCACAAAAGCCAGTTACAACTAGGGGTGCTTATCTTTGCGAAAGGAGGTCCCAAAATAAGGGATGCGCCCAGATGAAAGTCATTATGCATTTGCCACTAAAACAGTCATAGAGGTTGTTCGGAATTGAATGTGAGACCAAAACTATGCGAATGTGTGACCGAGACATGGATTTGTAGTTAGGGTGTAAAGCACAAGTACCCATAATGTGCATTGTTTGCAATGGAAGGAACGTTTCAAGCTGATAGGATGACTCAACAATATACTGCCGACAAAATTGACATCTTTTCCGGGCATTGGCATGTTGACTGGGCTCTGTCGTGAAGTTGCTACCTGAATTCAGGCATATTAGACCATTATTACCACCCACCATACCAGCGGAGTAGACAAGATTCTTGACCCCAGATCTTCTGCCAAGGAGAGATTGTCGACCGTGGGGCATGGACTGGGAAGATTTTGTGGTGGTCAGTTCCATAGGCTCGGAGCATGGGGCTGACTGAAGTCAATTTCTGTGGTTTTGGGGAATTTAAATATCTTTGATCTGGCCCCATTTCACCATCTTCTGGAAAGGGTAAGATATCGACCATGGCGCATAGCATGTTGAATGTTCTGCGACGATTGAGTCCATTGACTTGGAGCATGGCGTTGTCTGCGAACTATTTTCTAGTTTTGGGTTTTTTGGTGACGTGTCACCTGACCCAGGGTCATCATGCTCTGGACAGGTTAGTTTATCGATCATGCTGCATGGTTTGATGAAGATTTCGTGCAGATCGGTCTCATATGATCGAAGCAGACCGTTTGCACTCCAGGCACAAGCGTGGGGGTATGCGCAAGCCAAGGTGCTGTCTGCTGATGATCGAATGAAACATGCCCAGCCCTGGTCCTAGCCATGCAACGAATGTTTGGCTGTTTCGTTGTGTGGCATTGAGCTCTTCCGGCCAGTCATGTCCATTTCAGGGCTATGGGATGAAGGGAAGTGGATAGCGGCAGGATAGAACTACGCCCAACTGGAGGTCCATCCGTCAAACTGAGGGTCCATCTGCTGAGACCTGTTCCGCGCAGTTTGTGCTCAGCACTCAGCCACCGCAGACCTGTGCGCACCTGTGCGATGAAGACATCAACCCGTTTTCTCCACATGTGTGGGTGTTTCTGACAAACTGAGATGCCCTTACTAACCCCGACCGGTCCGTTTCAGCGGTTGCCCGAGCTGAGCTGGGGCACTCCGTCAATGACCGGAAGCTTGCTGTCGAGCTGCTGATCTGCGACGTGGCCTTCGGTGACCCAGAGGTCAGGCTGTCCAGCGTCAAAATACCGCGGGCATTGGAGAAACTCGACTTCGTTCGACTATTCGGAGAGGCCGTGCGCAAGGTAAATGAGACTGTTTTATGTCAACTGTTGCAAGCTTTGAGGCAGTGTGAACACTGTGCATGTGTGAATGTGTGTATGACTGCGTCACTGCGTGTGGGTGAATGGAAACTCTCCCACCTTGTACGCGGTGCCCGTTTACAGTCTCCATGTGCTCGAGATGCAGTGTGTTTATTCGCGGGCATCTATACGCGGATGCGTCTTCGTTGCATGGAATGTTCCAAAACTTGCAAGGACACCTACAAAGCAGCTGAGCGTTTGATAACAGCGTCATGTTTGGTAAGAATGGGGATTCTTGCACAGGGCTGATTGCTTAGAGCGTTTTTGGATGACTTTTATGCTGTGACATTTTATCCGATGTATGCAACATTTCCAGCGTTCCCTTCGTCACCGCACTGTGGCTCGGAGTAAAGACGCGACTTTCAATTTGCTAATCCGTTAACATCTGACCCCCAAGGATCCGTGGGCTTATGGCCAGGTTGTGGGCCAGACTTGGCGGGCTTTTGCAGGTCACGCGTTCAACAAACAAAACCATGCATTTTTTTGCCATTCCTTAAGTTTAAACCATCCAAAAAAATTGATGCCAAACACAACATCATTATGATTTGTTTTCAATTTTAGGAAGAGTATGAGTGACAGAAACCCATGACAAACATGCCACACCAGCAAACCAGGTTTTACGGCTTGCACAACATGAAGAAAACACCTCACCGAAAAATTCAAGAAGGACAACCCATACTTTCAATGCTTGGCCCGTTGTCACTGATCAAAATTTAGAGGGGTCATCAACATTAACACAATTGCTCACCACTCTTGGCTCGTAGACCATACTCATATTCAATATCAATAACTTGTTAAATGTACAGGAAGCTGCGAGTCTTTTATTACACTAGCCTCCTAAACTCGTCAATACTGTCCGCAGTTCCTGGCATGTTGCATGCACGATAATAGTCTAAATTGAAAAGTGGTAATATAGAGTTTGTATATTCATGCCTGAAGAGCAATTTACGGAGGCCCTTGCGTGTCACATTTGCTACGATTGAGTAAGTTGTTAAATGCATTTGCGAAAAACATTTTGCACGTAAATAAAACAGTAGCAATAGCCTTATTCCTCGACGAAAAACCAGGGGAGTGGAGGTAAAGATGTGTTGATATTTCCGCAACATGTCTTTACCGAACGAACAGCAGAAGTAAATTCAAAATTGTCTGCCGATGTTGTTATAGGGCATTGATCCTACTCGATTCTTCACGTTTTTCTTTTGATGCAGCGAGCCACAGCTTTTACAGGACACCAACATTCATCAGACAGTAGTATTTAGTCTTTTCCGAATACAAACCAGGAGAATGGAAATATAGATGGGTTGATATTTCGGTAACATGCTGGTGACATAGTGGCGTGTTTCTTCCGTCAACACAGGTTTATTACTTTATATTTAAATCAAACAATGACTTGCAATAATTTCAACCCAAGAAGTTCGTCACACATCCCACAAGTGCCACACAACTAGCCGCGACCGCACCACACAGATAACAACGCGCACAACAAGCCGTCACCCCACACTCAGACTCGCAGCGGTGACATGACCAAACACGGTTTCCTGTAACTTCCGTAAGGCGGCCAAACAACTAAGGTTTAACGTCAACTACGAAAGCAAACTTTCAAAACACCGGAAGGCTACACGTGCCTTTATCGAAACAATAGCCAAAGGACTTCTGCCATTCTTTCGATAGAGGCATGTTGCCAAAATATCAACCCACCTGCATCTCCATTCTCCCCACTTTTCTCCGAGGAATAAAGCTATTACTACTGTCTTATCCGTGTCATAAGTAAACAAGCATCACACATCATGCATGAATTACACATGCAAACTTATTACATATATAAATATTATAGCGTGATAAGCATACATCAATTACACGTTTGCTTAAATTCGTTTGCATGCACACCCATTTTTTACGTCACGCTATCGAGACGTCTCTATGGCCTAGTTGGTTGGGTCGCCCGCCTCCGGTTCGCCCGCTCGTGGCGGGCGAGATGGGTCCGAGTCGCGTTAAGCGCTGGCCATTTGCCTCTGACTCGAATGGTCGGTGTGCGGTGGCGGCGGTCGCGCTAAGAGCCATGTGACGCCAGAGTGTGGAAAGGATAAGACCGAGCACTGCGGAATGTCGAGCTTTAGCCGGAAAAGTTCGACCGTTGTCGAGGTATTTCACGATCAGGTGGTGCGGTTAGGGTTCACTCAACAGGGACTGCTTAGCGTGGGCGCTGATCCCAGACATCCGTTCCATCGAAAGGTTTGAGCAAAATCTTAAACCGTCTCCACGCGGCGGAAGCTTGAACTCATGGTTCCCTGTTTTTCCGACAGATGATACTGCACCAGATGACTGCTGAAATCGAGCCGTCCGTAGAGGCCTCTCTGCACGAGGCAATCACGAAAGAGCTGGACCGAGTCACGCTGGACAGGGAAGCTATCGAGGACCACTGGCGCCAGGCGAACAGCGACAGAATCTAGCCCGAGTCAGCTGACCGCTTCACACCACGACTTCTCGCAACGAGACGGCCATACCCTCGGACTTTGGCAATGAACAGACCGAGCTGGATATTGGGCCTTGGTTTACGTGGATCAAATGGGCGGCCTTGTTGTCCTGATTGTTGGCAAATAGAGCCTAGCAGCGAAATGTCAAAACATCCTGTAGTTTCCTGTAGCGGTAAACTTATGTCCTGAGCGATAGGAATAACTTCGGCGAAGATATTTGGGGCGTCGTAAGTGGAACTGAAAAGTTAGAGATAGTCTCTCACGCAGGTATGGTGCGTAGCGCGTGACAGGTTCAGAGGGGCAAAGTTTTGCTTATCGCAGGCTGAGAATTGCCATGCGTTTCAAGAAATGAAGAATTACGAGTGAATTCCATGAAAAAGTCACGAACGAATGACTTGTGCTGATCATGGATGACGCAGAAGTGCAGATGACGTATTCGGCAGAACGTTTACCTCACAGTTCACGCGAGGTACATTACAGAGACACTGCCAGTTTGCAGGTGGAACTCATATCGCTAACGAACGCAAGCAGATTAGCCGTACCTGATTTGGAACACAGGCACAGCTTTCGCAGAATATTTCCCAACGTGCTCGACTTGCTATTTGAAATCAGCATTATGGTGGACAATATTTCATCACACCTCCTGCTTGTCACTGTCGAAACACATGTTTTCTTCGACAATGCTTGCTTTGGTCTAATCCCCAACGGCAAACAGATTTGATTGGGTCACTCAGGTTTCTACTTGAGTTGTTTGTCACACAATCTGAAAACATTCAACAGATTCCTACGCAGCGTAAACCTGGCTACGTATAAACGGAACTGACGTGGAGAACGCGTCGCCCACAGCTTTTAGAGGATAGGAACTGCCCCCCCCCCCCCGACCTAAGAGAGACCCGGGGTTGTCAAATGCATGCAGACGCAATTCGATGAAGTGAGGAAAAACCAAAAATCTCGCGAAAACCTGAAAAAACAAAAGTGCCAGTACCCGAGTTCCTAATAAAGATGCCTCTACTCTGAAGTTAGAAGTGTTCACAGATATGGCAAAGGGTTATGGAGTCGAACATAGATTTAAACGATTTTCAAATATTTGTCTTTGCACGTCGTTGCCCTTGCTGGTGACCTCAGTCCATTTCGATGCCTTTTTAGTCACTCATAGAGTCATAGCGGTGAATTTACCCTTTTAAAGTAAGGAGGCGCTTTTTAAAGCGTCAAATGGTGTTTTAGAATGAACTGTGGCAAAGGAATTGCTCATTGCCAGTTTTAGATCACCCAGATCTACTTTTTAGAGACAGAATAGAGTTGCACTCATCGGTACGTAAATGAAAGACATTTTTGCGATAGTCTTACTAGGCGACAATCTAGCTTAAAAACTTTTACCTGATCTAGTGACTTCTGTCCTTCTGGTGGCGGTAATCACTCTTCTACAGCTCTGGAACTGTCACTAAACGAAAGACTGTCTTTCCCTTTGTCAAAAACGTACTTCCGTGTTGACAATGATTAGGGGTCAAATCCACATCAGGTGAAGGCGGGATCAGGTAGAGCTCGTGCCAGGTCATTAAATATAAATGTCCTGGCCTTCCAAGCTCAAATGACTTGTGGTGACACATGTTACGCGATGATATGATGTCTGTGATAATCCGGTTCGTATCCTCGGTTTGCATCTTTCGTTTTTACATGTTTAACAAAAATGCACAGCGTAAAATCATGTCCTGACACCTGGTTGCACATAATTCGTGCCTGTAACCTGTTGTGTCCGTACAGTACCACTGACTCTGCTTAGCACACTGCCAGAGCAATTTATGCCACACCAGAACAGTCCCAACAAGAAATAAGACTGCTAGCCCCTCCTGTAAACAAAAACGGACAAAAGGAGCAAGCGTTGACTAATGCCACACTCCGGAGTGTCCTGGAGGCGCATGAACGTTTGGATTTATGTCTGGTAAGTTCGTATTTCACGTGCTTTGTTCTTCACACTCCAGTGTGAGGACCACATTGTGCAGCTCCTACAGCATGGAGAAACAAAATCCACGCAATACTTTATAGCCGCTATGAACTGCGCTACACAAATTATAGAGAAAAGAACCGTCACCGGAGTGTGTTTGTTTTTGGCAATGCCTTGGGCAATGCTCTCAGCCATTTTCGCGACGTGGGTGGACACCATAAATTACCACTAGCCCTGAGCATTGCGTACCCCGGCCGACGCGGGCGCCGCGCCGAGCTAAGGTGACGGCCGCCGTTTGGCGCATGGGGGGGGGGGGGAGCAAAGTAGTCTTCAATGGCTCGAATCAATGCAGCTGTAAGGATCAGTGAACATTGTTTCGTTTAACAGCGCTGTCTTGGGTGGAACAAAGCGCCTCATTGGCACACTTTTCTACTCGCGTTGCTTCTTTGATGGAATACGCTCAGATTCCATTGCATGACTTGGCGGGTTTGCCTGCCTGGTTCATCTAGACCACGACCCATCTGGACTTCCAGCGAGACAGAAACGTCGTGCATTTCTGCCGGTCCAGTTGCGCCGTCATCTAGCCTGTCCGCACCACTGACATCGTGGTCCGGTGGCACGTTTACTCAAATTAACTCATCCGCATTTTCTGGGAAAATCTCGCCAAGCATTTCGATTGCTTTGCTCGCAGATACACGATGCTGAGCTGCAATCGCTCGGAAATAAACAATGGCTTTCGACTGGTCTGAAAATATGCACCCAAATATAACATGCGTTCTGATCGTATGAAGTACAAAAGCAAACTAGTTAATCGACAACGTGAAATCTTGACGAAGACACACAGAGCAGCCAACTTTCAACAGCTTGCCGTATTGGTGAAAGTTTATCGTTCAATCTGCTTTGCCTATGGACCCTTACATGCAGGTGGCACTGATCTTCCAAAGGTCAGGGTCACGACCCTGATATATAAGCGCCTGCATGCAGCGAATGAACCTCTCTTCTCTGGCTGTGATTGTTGCTGCGATGCGGGGGTAGTCCAGCTTGAGGGTGCTGCACTCGCGGTATGATAATTATTGCAACGCATTGTCAGGCTCGGTAGCCTCATTTGCCCTCGTATACGTCTTTTATATTGTTTTAAAACAATACTTGTCTGAGGAGCTCGCCATATTGCGCCGAATATCGTTGATCGTTTTGACGTAAGGTCGGTGGTTTTCATACTGCAGATAGAGGAAACGTTTGGCGTGATAGCGAAATTTGGCTTTGACATGTCCAATGTCAAATTCTCAAATTACTTTTAATCGCATTTACGTAACGTAAAGACCCGCATTGTATAGCGATAAAAGGTATGCGCGGCTCAAAACCCTGTCTTGGTCTCAGATGTCACAAATTGACTCGACAAGTAAACGAGCATTGTTGGATAGCTTGGGCGATGATCGCTGCATCGGTCTTTTTCCATCATCCCACCGTCAATGGGGTATGCATGTGTATATGCATGTGTACACTATGCACGCACGAAGTATTTGTATAACGCATGCATCGTGTAGGCGTAGTATATATACTAAGTGTATAGTTAAGCACAGAATGGATAAAGTTATGCATAGTATGTATATATTTATACATTGCAGTGTATATGTATAACAGCTACCGGCAGCAAAACTGTATACCATACATTCCAACGCACATGTCGGCTGTGATGATGTTTCCGCGATCTGAGACACGTAGTTCACCCGCGCCCCAAATTAGGACATCTCCAAAACCGGAAGACAGCATAAAACGTGTCATCTTTTACACAACCACTTTGTACTGTTACGGCTGGAAATAATATCAAATGATACAATTTTATGGTTTACGGCATGACATGATGAAGGCAATATTTTAATCAATAGGTGACCTGGGCGTGCTCAACAGGTAGCAAATATGTGACCTGGAAGGTCACCTACTGTTGTAGAATCAAAACTTCGGATATATTTTGATAGCTTAGACCACGCGCAACACACTGTTTTAGTTGGACCGCGAGAGACACGCGCAACACGCATTACGCCCGAGTTCAAAAGTTGTTAGGAAGACCGTCTTTTCACCTCGTCGGACAAGGGTGTAAAAATGGCCCCGTCAGGCGAGGGTTAATGGTCGAGAAAGTTAAGGGGCCAGCCCCCTCCCCCTCCAAGTACCTACGCCCGTTCGTGGGTAGACGTTTGCATCAGCTATGCCGTAGTAAATGAGGCCGGCTGGAAACCATTACCAATAACTTTTTTACCGTACATGTGCCTTGCAGCCAGGGCTTCCATATCGCTGTCAGCTTTCATCACGCGTCACAGAGCTCATTGATACCTTGGGTGCTTTTATCAATCGTCTCGCCACCGAGTAATCTCTTCTTCTCCATCTCTTTATTGTTCAAAGGAGGTTCTAGGATGAATAAATCACTCCATGTTTTACTTTGGCGTATTCTTGAGATTTGTAAGCATACAGGTTCTAAGCCAGTCAGAAAATGAAAATATATGTACAGAAAACATGGACACAGAACGAGCATGGTAAACCAATGCTAACAATGACATGACAAATTATCATTAAAAAGGATGCATGGAAAGGTCGGGTCTATGCAGGTTTTTGGGCCATTCAATCCTCTGGACCTTTATGTGTTGTCTTTGAAAGATGAGTTAGAATGTCGCCATAATTTTCTTAAAAATGCATCAGTACCTGTTAAATATTTACGCAGATGTAGCATGACACAATTGGTGTGCCATGCGTTCACGATCTCGTGCAACCAACGTTTTTGTTAGCTCACGCCGCCCGTACGCCATTCTTAAAGTCGTATGTTGGTAGAGCAAAGCATAAAATGGTATGCAAGACCATTCCTGAGGTAATCCATTAACAAGTCTTCATGGATGAAGTACGAGGCTCCACGCCTTCACGCCCTCGATAGGCCTGCGGAAAAAGGACACCTTGAGCCACGATTTGTGATGCGTTGGATGTGACTCGCCACCGTTTACCGTCAGCCAGTCTCGCTTCCACTTTTCGGAGATTTCGTCAAGAGACGGAAGCAAACAGTGCACTTGAGAGTTGCGCACCGACAAGGGGGAAAATTTCTCCCAGCGGGCGACATGACGCGACGTGGTTCTTGTCACACAAAAGGTTGCCTCGCTTACACCACGGTGGCCCCGCTTATGACAGACGACTCTGACGCACTAGCATGATCATTGCTGACCTGTGAGG